ATAGGATAAACACAAATTTAAAAAGATGATAGCAAATAATACCTACACATAGTACCATTAATGTATAAAACTGACATTTTTATTTCTCTTTAATCTACAGAAACACTGTCTTGGTCATCAGAAAGTTAACCACTCTTCAAAATTTGCTTAAAATGATTTGAGAATTCATAGATGGACATAAATCACAATGGTATCCCTGATGCAAAATACACCTCACAAATTTTCAAATGAATCCCACAACTTCCTAAATTATTTAGAAAAAGTAATGAGTAATTTTGAATCTCTTGATCTCTATTTTAAAAAGTTACTCTCAATACTTTGAATTCAGTCTCTGTGACCACAAGATGGCACTGACCTTTCTGGTTTTAAAACTGTGTGGATGACTCTGACTGCAGAAAGGCAAGACTGACAGAACATAACATTCATTCTATTTATGTATTTATTTTTGTATCCCATAACACTGTATTTGTTACATAAATGGACCTTAAAAATGTTGAATTTCATGTATCTGATTATATCAGGTGTATCCAACCTCTCTTGGAAGACTTTTATTTACAAGTTTAATTGACTGGGTTTCGCTTTTTGAAAGCCAAATGTAAAATGCTAAACTGTAATAAACATGCCCAATTATACTGCACCAGAATAAAGAGTAATTAATGTTGGCAACTAGAATGATTTAAAAATGGAATTTGTCACAAAACACTAAAATTAGATGTTTTTATAGTTAGTTTTGCATAGGGACAGATGAGAACTGAATTTTGAATGAGCTACTACTGCCACCAAGCGTTAGAATTCATTCAAGCCTCACAAATGCACAGAAACTAACACCGAAGTTGCAATGTGTCTTCAACGTGAGGCCATAACGCTCTGTACAACAGAAACCCATGCCCTCACAGCACACTCACTGGAATTCCAAAATGCCAGCAATGTCAATAACATCTTCCAAATAAAGATGTAACAAGTGAATGTGAAGGGCGCATTTGAATAAATGCACCTCATATATGTAGAAAACAAACTCTGAGATGATCCCTCCATGATTTTCCACCTCCTGGTCTCCTGGTCTTCATGCCTTTGTGTAATACCATTGTCCTCTGCCCAGCTGTGTGTGCCATAGAGAACCGGGCCTTATTTCTAACCAAATTAATATGACAAAGGTGATGTAAGGCAAAAACGTCAAGGCTGTGCTTATGGTGTGCATGTGCACACACACATACATTTATGTCTGTATTTGTGTGCCTATGTCTGCGTCTGTATTTGTGCCCATACATAAATTTCTGTCTCTGTGTCTATATCTATCTCCTATCTGTATCTCTATCTTGCAAGGAAGAACGAGGAAGTCTCTGCTGGTTTGATGAGTTGAGCAGATCTCTTGAAGACGCCTATAGCAAGGAAGTGTAGGCAGCACCTCGAAACTGCCCTCGGCCCTAGAACTTGTGGGTAGCCTCTGAGTTCCACCAACATAAAGCAAAAAGGCAGGGCCCTCAATCATACAGTCTCATGGAAATGAGTTCTGCCAATGACTTGAGTAATCTTGGAAGCGGATTTTTCTGAATGAAACCCATGCATGAAAATTCAAGCCAGCCAACACCTTCATGACAGCCTGCCATGCTCCTGAGCTGAAGACATAGCTAAGCTGTTCTTGAAACCCTGACCCCTGGAAACATTGAGATAATGAGTATATGTTGTTTTAAGCAACCGAGTTAGTGGCAATTTGATATGCAGCAACAGAAAATGAACATAATATATAACACGGTAAATGTGTCACATTGTAATATTGAATCAGAATATTTTATTTCACTGTATTGAAATAATATGGGTTAATTAAAATGTGTCTTTAAGTTGGTCAACAAGTACAAAGTTAAGGTTAGATAGAAAGAATAAGTTCTGGCATTCTATTGCACAACATGGTAACTATGGCTAATATTAATGTATATTTTTAAATAGCTCAAAGAAATGATTTTAAATATTTGAGGTGATAGACATGCTAATTAACCTGATATGCTCATTACACAATGAGGATATCTATCAGAACATAACACTGTAGTTCATAAATATATGCAATTATTATTTGCCAATTAAAAATAAAACTATAAAAAATGTGTCTTTAAAAATTACTGAATTGGGCCAGGAGCTGTGACTCACGTCTATAATCCCAGCACTTTGAGAGGTCAACGTGAGAAAATTGCTTGAGCTTAGGAGTTCAAGACCAGCATAGGCAACATAGTGAGACCTCCACCCTATATACCTCCCCACACACACCCACACACACAGAAAATGATGTGGCCATGGTGGTATGCACCTGTATTCTCAGCTACTCAGGAGGTTGTGGCAGAAAGATCACCTGAGCCTGGGAGGTTGACAGTACAGTAAACTGTGATTGTGCCACTGTACTCCAGCCTGGCTGACAGAGTGAGACTCCAACTAAAAAAAAAAAAAAAAAAAATTACTTAATTGTATTTCTGACTCCTGTGTTTAACATGCGCTGGTGGTAAATTTTCTTAGGTGATTTAGCAGTATACACACACACAAATTGTATTATAGTTTCAATCTTAGAAAAAGTAAAAAGTTCTAAATCATAATCATAAATGTCTGCTTTTCTTAAAAAGATTGAGGCAAGATAATACCAATGTTTTTTAGTAGTGCAAATAAATATTCTCACCATGGAAAAAGCGTATAATGACAATATTAGCTGTATAAAGCTCACATCAACTGATCCGATCATAAATTGGAAGATGATGGGAATTTCACTACAGCAATATGGTCAATTTCTAAAGCTCTCAATCAAAATCCAATATCACGTTACACATATGTCTTTAGGTGAATAAATCTAGACTATCACCATGTCATTTGGATTTTACCAGAGCAAGGTTACAATAACTGCCAAAAGAGAGTCAATTTCTAGAAAGGGACACTGGAAGCTAAAAGTGTCAGGATTCCATTCTTTGATTAAAGTAGACTTGTCCTCAGCAAACCATGGGGCAAATAAAATTAAATGAAGCCTATGGCATCTGCAGGTCCCAAGAAATTAGTTAGTGTCCTGACCCAAGACCCTCCATACTGTTCTCAAGCTTCAACCAGGAAGGTGTAAATGACATTTGCTAGTGTCAGGGCTTTCACACACTTCACTTCTCCGGTATTTAACGGAGGCTGTATGGACTGAGAGTTCCCAGCAGACAGTTTCCACTTTACATAATTCCACTCAGTAAAGGAAAGTAATAAAAATATGAGCTCAGAATTGGTTTTCTCTAGGATAGCGTCTGGTACCACTTCCTTGAGGCATCTACAAAGTGGGGCAAGGAAAAAGACAGCGGTGGAGGTGTCTATTTTTGAATCAGGCACAGATGTCTTTTTGTTACAATCCTAAAGTCTTTAAATATGATTGTGATGATAGTTAAGGCATCATAGTAAGTGCTCACTTAACATTGGGGATAGGTTCTTGGACACTACTACTTTAAGCAAAAAGATGTATAATGAAACCACCCCCCCATCAATGTTATAAGAAAGTGACAAACAACATTATTAAAGAACCTGCTATATGAAGTTTCCAAGAAATTATCCAAGACATAAAGTGAGGACTAACTGCACCTCATTTAATCTCTAACACAACCCTGTGGACTAGGTACCCTAACTGTACTCTTGGCACTTTAAGGAAACTGAGGTTTGGGAAGGTTAGCAATTGCTGAGTTGAAGTTCAATCACATCTGCTTAAACCAAAACCCATATGCTTAACCACAGTGCTTTAAAGTTTTCCAATGTATGTTCCATATGGTCAGTGAAGGGACAAAGCGAAGGAAATAACTGGAATATTCTTATTCTCGAAATCAAACGCATGGTACCCCAGTAATAATATTTGTTTAATCAACAGGCATAGGTGTGGTATATTACAATTGGCAAAGTACTTTCCTAAATGTATGTCATTTGCTTCTCACAAGAATCCTGCTAAATGTGTGTTGGTAGTACCTATAACAATGTCATTAAGAACTTAACTTAGGCTTGAAATTCATTAGCCCCACAACCTTGGGCAAATTAACCCTCCAGCTCCCCAACCGGTAGAAAGTGTTAAGTACACCCTACATCTCAGGGTGGATGCAAGGACAATTGGCCACCTAGGCGCAGGTACCATACTTAATAAGTGGTCCTGACCTTATTTGATGATGAAGCCCAATTTCCAGAAGTTAGACAAGTGGGCACGGCCAGAAGGGAAGGTGTAGGTCCCAGTTTTCTGACCCATGGCCCCCCAAAGGGGTAGAATGTGGGGTTTTCAACACATGAGTTCTCCCATCCTACCCATTTTCAACTGAAGGCCCATGCTCTAAATCCCCCCACCTCAAGGTGGCCACCAAGGGTTCACATCAACTGTCCCAAGTCTTGCCGGAGTTGAGCGGCACTAACCCGACCTTGACCCCTCGCTGCCTCCTCAAAATCTGCGTCACAAGCCTCTGGAACATTCACGAGGACCTGATTCTGGCTGGAGCCCCGCCTCCAGCCGAGGGAGGAAGATCTCGACCCCAATTGGCTGTCGCCCCGGGCAACCCAGGACGCGATGGGCACGCGGAGGGTCCGGCGGGTATTTAAAGGCCACCCGACGCCGGGGCCACCCCAGTCTGGCCTGGACGGCGACGGCGCAGCCGCCGGGTAGAGAGGGAGCCGTCAGGTAACGTGCGGTCCCCGCCTCCCTGTCCCCAGCCTCGCCTCTGCCGAGGCGGGGGTGTGTGGGGCTTGGGAGCGGGTCTCACTCCGTGTCGCCCACCAACGCCGTCCTCCCCACCATCCTCACCCAGCCCCCATTTCCACCCAATCCCCTTGGCAAGACAACCCAGGGGCGAAGACGCGAAGTGACGAGGATCAGTTGGCAGGCAGAGAGGAAAGGCCACTTGGAGAGGAAGGTGTGACCCCTGGTGGACACGTGGCGCTGCGCAGAGGGACACAGGGTGACGATCAGGCCCAACTCGACAACTTCTAGGACGCTCCCATCGAGACCTCTCAGAACGTCCTGCACCATGACCCAGACCCTCAATCAAAGGGAGGACCCTCTGAACGTGGACGGCGGCTGGTCACCCTCGGCCCCTTTGCACTCCTGGTCGCCCTGCCACCGCCGGCGCCGGGAGCAGCGCGGCCGCGACGGCCCCAAGATGGAGCACGAGCCTCAGAGGAAACAACCCAAGCCGCGACACGGCCCAGGTCCGTGGTTCCAGCCACCCCGCTGGCCCAGCTGGGCCGCGTACTCCAACTGGTGGTGTTGGGGAGGGCCGTGGCGCCCCCATCCCGCGGGGTTC